CGGCAACCAATGCAACATCTGAAAAATCCTTTTTTCAATAGCTCCATAAAAACCAGAAGTTGGGGGACGGTCCCTATTCGGATTTATGGTTATGAGGATAAACTTCGAAACCCAGAGAATGCTTTCCGGCATAAAAAAAAACATGTGAAGATGCGATTATTTGGCTGCAGCTGCGTATATATATTCAGTGAGAGCTGTTAGAGATTTGAAAAAAATGGGCTGTACCATAGTATATCGTGTCTGTTTCAATTACTAGGGAAGTACCGTTTATTAAGGACATTGGCACATGAAAATGTTCAGATAATAACCCAATTCGTTCGTTCATTAAGCTCAAAGCTCATTAAAGTACTGTGTAACGTGCAACAAAAACAGGGGATACAAGAAAACATTGTAACACCCCGCGACAATTTGGCCGCCGGCTTCGAGTATGTCCACGCTCTGTCACCCTATCCCCACTCCCCATCTAGGCCCGATGTCAGGACAAAGTCAGAAAGAGCGCAAAAGCCGGAGGCCCACACACTGCACGTAAACACAACTCGAAAACCGTAGCAAAGTACGAGGGTGGCAATTGTAGGAAGCTAGGCCATTGTCGAATTCACATGACACAGGAAGAGCATCGCGGTTTTGCTGAACTGCTATTACGATTAGGTGTCCCTACTGCTTCGCAAATTTTGCAAGATCTGAACAGGAAGTCCTGATCCTCTTCAGCCTATGAAAAACTAATCTAATTATGTGTATGCCATTTTTTAGGGAAACCACGTCAACTCAAAGATGACAGGCACGCGCATGCCACATGGGCATTTGGCCTGTGCAGAACATAATAAAGCCCAATCAAATGAAGCGTGCTCGTTAGTGAAAAGGACGCAAGCATCGGTGCAAATTACGATAACTGCCGTCTGATCAAGTGCAATTGGAAGGTCTTCCCTGGGTTTCACTAGTTGTCAGAGGAACGAGGAAAGTGCGGTCAGCCCAATCGTATTATTTTGGAGGTGGTCAACGGTTAACGACTTCTAACCTAATTCCCGTGACAACAAAACCTGCGTTAGAGGTCATTACTTCTAACTGTACAACAGAGGCCTTGTCCCCACTTGTCTTGGTAGTATCACTAAGGGCATTTAGTTGGAGAACGCCTCCTCCCTCCAAGGAGACTCGGTAAGCACTTTACTATCATCGAGGAAGAGAGCCAGCCACCCAGCCTCCCCATCAAAGAAACAACTCTCGCGCTAACCCAGCTCCAACGTTATTATATCAACTACGCAGTTAACCAGAGAATCGAGATTCTTAGACATAATTTACCCGTAAAAACGAACCTATATCTCACTAACTGTGCAGACGTACGGAAGC